ATGAACACCAAAGCAGATTAGACTGCCACAAGGAACAAGACAAGCTATCAATTTGTATTTGGAGAAAAAAATACTATATTAACTGCAGTGTTTAAGCATATCATATAATATTCCTCCATTACCACTTATAGATGTGACAAATGCATTTTCCCTCTCTCTGCCATGGCAACTGAAACAAACATCTGAACTACAAGCACAGATGCAGTACTCAAAAGTGAAGTAGCAGTTAACGTTAAAATACGTCAAAAGAGTGTACCCTTATAACAAATTAAATGCAGTGATGTATTTCAGTCCTATGTCAACACTGTAACTGTTAAATGCTCCAAATAGTTTGTATATTTCATTATATTTCAATACAGCTCTCACACTAGACTAGCAGCAAGTATAAAAACATTACATAGTAAAACCTCTGCGAAATGAAGATCCAACAAACCAAGGCAATTGGTTACCATACAAAAGATAAAAAGTCCACATACCATGCCCTCTCTTATCTATTTTCCAAACCACAACCCACACATACTACCTAAATCCATATGCCAGTCCTTCACTATCCTGTATTGACATTATAATGCACCTCTGTGATATTCACTGTAAAAACTACATATTTGTCTTCATTAATTTTGTCAATGCAGAGATTTTACTATGAACCCTTCCAAAAAATTGCATTTACAATAATGTCACAGGCTATTTCTAATCACAGCAACAATGATCAGCCAATGCTTCTTTTAGACTTTGGCATCAGTTTACAGGAGTGCTGTAGGTAAGTATATACAAATAGTGATTTTCTAAAACAACAAGACAAAGACTCTGCACACAAAATAAAGTTTTCTACACCCTAGGTTTTTATGTAAATATGGAGAATTTGTCTAGTAAACATTGTTTTATCTTTAAAAATGTATTTGGTTTAAAGATGAGCATTAAATTGGGTACAACTTTATAAGAAAATGGATTATAAATAAGATTTGGCACATATTAAAATCATTGGAGGATTATATATGGAAGCAATTTCTTTTATGAAGCAGCCATGGAAGAAATAGGATATGTAATCTAATCCTGATTGTAAATATATCTTTTAATAACCCACTATCAGTCATCCAACGCAATTTTCTCCATGTTCCGTAAGTTCCCAGACCAGCCAGTTTAGATTATTGCCAAACTGGATCCGCACCACTATTCAATTGCTTCAGTTCCGCAGCTATACATGTATAATATATTTGTAGTTTAATATCTACTTTGTATGCCTGTAAGACTAGTTTTATTTTCTTGACTAAAAATTTGGCCAAGAAATATTAAAAAAACAAACAAGTTCTCTGGGTTAGTGACTAACCCTGACCTCAGTAATAAAACAAGAAATAAAAATACCAACAAGTATAGTCTCACAAACCCAATAAAACAACCTTTAAAATATTAACTTTGTGATATGCTGAAAAATATGTAACGTTACATTATTGTTTTCCCTTAGTTTATAGAATTCTTGACGTTCCAACATGAGCAAAAACATGGTACCTCCGACTGATATGATTTCAAACCTTTGTAAGGATAGGAAGTGTAAAGTGGTTGTAAGTGAAGATTATCAATGATTTAAGTTCAAGTATTAGGAAGACAGACACTAACTAAAATTTAACAATTATGGATAAATACTGTAAGTATGGTATAGTGAAATTTCTTGTAGATTGTAAACAGGTAATCCAATCCTACCAGTGCTATACATAGGTTGAGGGTGGGATTCTAAACAAGTTGTTAAAACTTTCTAACATTAGAAACTAGCTAAGAAAGATCACGTCAAGCTATATGCTAAGATGAGAAAGATTTTTCACTCCTAAAAATATTACTCTAAGGTTGCAAACAGTTAAAAAGTGAAGCACTCAAGAAACAAATGTGAGGTGTAACTTCAGTTTCAAAAACACCTTAAAATACATAATATAATTATAATAATAATAAATAGTGTATATTACTCTAACGTAGCTTTAATTGTAGTAATAATATTAATAATAAAACAAAAATCACATATCTTTGGCTTGTTCCCTTTTACCACTCAACTGTATTTCTGTAACGGCATATCAATTTCATTTGACCCCTCAGATATTGGGGTAAGGATCAAATGTGCCTCAGCCGTATGCACTGTATTATCTTCTTTTATTTTATATCTATTTGGGCTAACTTTTTTTTTTTTTTTTGTTTCTTAATAGTACATGTATATTACCAGACGGGCTGGTAACTTTAGTTTTCTTCTAACTTCTGCACAATTTCATTTGCCATACATACAATTCCTTTTACTGTGTTGTAGTGGTGTACATTTGCCTGCTTATTACTAAAGAGAATCATACACACCACTCAAATAATTAGCTAAGTCGACATTAATGTATATAAGACAAGATGTTCGAACATTAATGAATCGGAGCTTTGACAATATGGTTAGGAGCGATGTAGTGGTAGCCAGGCATGGGCATACCGGCTGTCTCCATCGATATCCTGCAACACAAGGAAGAAAAATTTTGGTTAGCATTACCTCCATGTTCACTAAAATCACATTTCATGCCTGGAGTGGTGCACAGTGTTTAACATTCAATTCTACAAATTAACTCTTTGACTTATTAACATAAGGTTAGTATTTGTATTCACAAAATTGCTGCACAAATCGCAGATTTTGCAACACTTCTATTATTCTTAATACACAAGTTACACATAGTGAAGTAAGGAGCATGGAATAAACATGGCTTAATTTAATTACACAACTCTTTAAAAAAAGAAAGACACCACATTCTACAGTTCATTTAAAAACAATCAAAACTAACCATGACACTGTTTCACATATCCTATTGAAAATTTTCATTATTTACAAGACAAAATGAAAGCACCAACTTCTCTGAAAGTTTTATATATAATAATAAGATATCTAGGATGCAACTTAGAATAATTTGAGAAACAAATATATTTCTGTAAATGTTTCCTAGTTTTATCACAAAACTGTTCCACTCACTACAGCAACTGAAGTGATAGTATTTGTCTCCAATACTCCGCATACACCTAAAATTACTTTCAGATAAGTACAGCACTTCAGAAAGAAAAGGAAAAACACCCGTGTGGATACAAAAACATTTCTGACAGAAAGTTTACTAAGAAAGGGCAGTTTGTCCTCAGCAATAGGAAAGGTTCAAGTGTAACACCAGATACATGAATTACAAAACCATCATTACGAATTCATCATTGTGCATGATTGAGTCATGATAAATTGGAGTGACGGAGTTAAAGATTGGAATGACAGCAATATATCATGCTATATTTTGGGGTCAGCAACAATTGGTGTCAGGGAGGGAGTGACCTTCTTGGGTATAACACTGTGCTCTCACTACTCAGGGGATGCATTAACATTTAGCTCAACTTAAAGCTTGCTTCGGCTGACTTTTGCCTCCTTGAATGATTAGAACAGATAAACACTATGTACATTCTCAAACATTCTGCAATATTTACTTTGCAGAAGAGGAAGCAACACAAATGTCATGCATATGTACTCAAGGGACTTGTTATGTCAGCAGAAACAAAAGCTTGCACACCAGCTTGGTGTCCAAAAATTGTGGTGATGCACCCAGGAGTCTCCAGGTACACAGGAATTGAGAACATGCTTACCGGAATATTTGGTACAGATGGACGAAAGGATGGGATTCCATCTTTAGCCTCAAACTAACGTCCTGTAGCAGCTCTTATGGATGAGGTCTTCTGGCATCTTCACTTCATGGCATGGTTATCAGTTGTATATAAGGAAGTGAGCAGAATGTCATAGGCTTAACACTGTGGCATCTCATCAGTTCAAATGCAATAAAATAAAACAAGTCAGGAAAAAGGAGTAAAATAAATACAGGGAAAAAAAAAAGGGGGGGGGTCTTCTATTAGCAAAATTTAGGCCTTTGAGCTTTCTTCTACAATAATTAGATTTGTAAAGCTACAATGCTACAATGCTGTGGTAGCTATGAAGGGTGATAATAGCCACCTATACCTACTACCTGGATCAGTATCTACAACAAGAATTTAACAGGTGATTCAACAGTGCAAGACTAGAACTAACAGGTAAGAAGGTAATAAGAGAGGAAACAAGCGTGTACAAGCAAGCAGTGTGCGACCACAGCATACTAAGGTCAGGAAATAGTATCATTTCTCACCCTTACAATCAGCGTTCTGGGTAGAATAAAAAAGCACAGAAGATTTAGGATGAGGAAAAGGACAGAAAGAATAATCAACATTACAACAGAGAAGGGTAGTTTACAATATGCAAGGTAAACGCAAAATCAAACAGTGATTACACTATTTGATAATTCCCACCCAGATTATTAATAATACATTTGAAGTGATAACACATCAACATATGTTACTGCAGCAATTCAGTAGTTAATTCATTCATTTGGTTCAAAAAATGAAATTTAAAAATAAGGATTCCTCACAGCTAATTAAATATTTTTAAAAATGCAATGGTAAAGCTAGTCTCCATTGTGAACGCATTAACTATAAATATTCATTGTTGTATATGACAACAAATAGTACAAAATGAAAAATTACCCCTAATTCATTTGAAAAATAAATTCTTTTTTTCTTTTCTCAATTTGGTTACCACAAATTACTGTTGAAATTTTGATAAACATGCTGAAGAACTTACGTCATCATTAATTAGTACCTTCAAAAATTATTTCAACACCACAGTTTTATGAACAGGGAATTTAGACAATTTCACAAGACAATCTTTGAAAAAAATTATTTACACATTTCAATTCAAATTGTTTTTGCAACTGCCAACCCCCAAGAGTTAAATTCTTTACCAATCTTTCATGCTGATCAATGAAATAGAATACTAGTTGCTTCTAGTAAATTACTAGTTGATATAGTTTTCTAGTCTACTTTGCAAAACTCTCTCATGAAAACACTGTAATGAATTATTTCTCTCACAGTTGGGTGATTTCTGGATTGTGTCATGTTTGAATCTTCATTAACACTCATGAAAACAAAATAAACTCCTATTTTGTAAGTATGTACGTTTATTCTTTAAATCACATTTTTTACAAGTGTACTGTCAGAGAAACAGGTCTACATTTCATCAAAACAAATCTCTGTTATTTCTTTTTCAAGTTCCAATATACTTGTGTAATCAAACAAAAATAACGCCATAAAAATAATCTATTAAAGTTGTACTGATATGTTTTACATAGACCTACAAAGACAGTCAACAACATGTACTCAAAAACACACACATCCCAATTATACTTCTTGACACCAAAAAATTCTGAAATTAAAAGGTACAAATGATTCCAATGATCTTAAAATTATCAGCAAATACTTTATTTCAAACAGTGATAATTCCTAAGTTGTGATTATGCTCATAAAATTCACATTAATGAAAACATATCACAAGAATGGAATCTTGATTACTTTTGGCAAAAGAAAAAGTGTTCTATAAAATTATTTCAAACATCTATTTTATATCAAATCATCTCTGGAAACTACCCTTCTTAAATGAACATAATTGATTCACTGATATGAATAAAGTTTTCACAAACACTGAACTAGGATGGTAATGTTGTTCTATATAGATGTAGATATATATACTAATAAAGAAAATATATAACCCAATGAATGAAATATCAGCTATTGATAAACACGTATGTTATTACTTGATATTGAATACCTAACATTACCTATTTAAGAGATTTGTGAAACACTGCTTCTTACAATACGCCTGACTTGGTCAAGTGCGACTCATCAAAGACTGCAAACTTACATCAAATCTTTGTCTATTGTTCACAATCATTTTACAGGAAAACCTCAATAATATGAAAAACGAGACAAAATTCAAATCTGTAGAAGTCCCGAGTCTAGACTGAACATGGTAAAATCACTAAGTTGCAGTACGCAATCACAGCGACTAATCAAAAATAAGGAAGGGACAAAGAACATGTTTTAAATTTGTACAAGACAGGAGCAGATTGCTCCTTCATCCTAAACATAAATATTAAAGAGGCTTCTCTGTAATAGTGCTGAGCAGCCTACACCCCCAGACTGGCCCTCAAGTGCTCAGTACGGCGCAAACTTGCTGCGCTCCGACTTGAGCTTGCTGTTGTCCTGGGGCCCCATGCCCCCGCCAGGGCTGCGCAGCCTGGGGGTGTAGGTCTTGTGGGAACGGTGGACGCCTGTGGTCTGCACGGGGGCGCCAGCCCCGGCGCCCCCCAAGAGCTCCGTCAGCCCGCCCAGAGCGCTCAGGCTGGAGAGCGCGTTCAGCGCGCCAGGTTTGGACAGCAGCTGGGCGAGAGGGATGGCACTGGCCAGAGGGGAGGCGGCCGCAGAGGAAGGACCGCTGGAGCTCGAGCCGGGGGTGGTCGAGCTGCCCGGACCACCGGGATTGGTGGGATTTTGGGCCTCAAGGTTAGCTTTCTGCAGTTCAACACTGGGGGGAAAAGAGACACGGACATAACGGTGAGGATTAAAAAACAGGTTGTCAAAAAAAATATATAAAACACTGTGGCAAATCTACAGCCCTACTTCATAGCAGTATGGCAATGCATTATTTCCTGATTTATGATAGAAGCGCATTTGCTGTAGACAGACTCCTGTTATCCTTTTTGGATATTAAAGAACCACAAAAATAATAATAATAATAATAAAAAACAACAACAAAAACATAAAAAGAGTAAAAAAACAAAATGTGCCTGCAAGGATTCTGAAATGTTGGAAAACAAGATGCATATGGAAACTAACAGTAATCTGAAAAGAAAACACCACCACCGCTGCTGCTGCCACCACCACCATACTTGCAGAAAACCTTTTTAAGATACTTCTAACCACAACAGCTTCCCGGAATGTTTCGGACAATCCCTTCTTTCCTCTGCATTGCCATACTTGAAGCAGGAGCTTGCAGCAACATCTCAGGTTACAGAAACCATGGGCATTTGGTTCTGCAGACTACTGTATGAAGGCAGGATCTACAGAGGCTCAAAAACCAATAGAAACTGTAACCATTAGTTGTAGCTGCAGCAGTGTACAAAATGAAATGGTGACTTTTGTTCAGGAATCTGTTCTGAAATGGGAAGTTTTTGGTAGCAATGCAACATTGCAGGGCAATCTCATACTTTTAGGAATAAGAAAAATTATTCTTAAATCAAATGTGGGATATAAGGTGTTTTTTAAAAATTGTGACAGAATTCCTGAACAGCCGAACATTAACACAAAGGTACTCATTTTCCAGATTGCCATTCAGTGAAATACAGCAACTTCAATAATGAAACTTTACCGTACAAAATAATTTTGAGGGACAGCATATTCAACAACCAAAAAACTAACAAATATTTAATTCACTAAATGGCACTCTTGATTTTTACTCTGGTATGTACATGGTAATTTATCTTAGGATGTAAAATTAAAAAGAAAATGGAATTAACCAGATATGGAATTATGCTTGCACTACAAGGCAAACAGGAAGTTAGTGGCATAATACTATAACAGAAATTGAATGTGGGTCATAAGTGCTAAATAAAAATAACTTAAATATAACATAAAAACTCAATTCTGAACGTGTACTCTGATAACCGATTCATCAGCAAGGACAGCACAAATTTGATAATGAGTATCAGGTGAATTCACACACACCAAACCCAGCATTTGAAATGAAAATTCATAACAAGCAGTTATAAAATAAATTTGTATTTTATACTAATCTCTGACCAGGTTAGCTAAAGTTAGTCCAAATAAATTTATTCAATAAATAAAAAACAAAGATGAATTCAAATTTATGATCCCAACACCACAAACAATTATTAAATGCAACACCTATCTACAGTATAGAAAGTTATCTAATAAATGTTATAACAGCATGGTAGCTTGAGGAGAAGACATTGCACTAGAAGTTATCATACTAAAATGTTTGAACTTGAGGCATTAAAGATATTAATGGAAATAAGAAAAAGGTAAGGAACTGTTTTCAACTGAAGATGCAAAATAACGTACTCCAATGGTGCAAGTTTGGAGTACTAAAATAACTCTTGAAAGAAGGCATGACTTGAAATCTGTAGTCAGAAAATGGGCTGACCATTTCATAGAAAAATTACACATTACATGATAAAAGAAAGCTACGAAGTCTTAATTTCATCAAACATTGTATCTAAATAGAGTAAATTTCCTAATCTGCCTGTTAGAAGAGTGCAAGCAATGAATGTGGAATCAAGGTTGGCAACCATATCAAAATTTATCCTAGGACATCAGGCAAGGCGAGGACAGGACGACTGCAGATTTAATCATTCCGGTTTGAAGTCGGTCAGGAGCATTTTGAACTGTGGAAATTACAAAAGGACCCTGGAAAGAATTAAGGCCAATCTTCGGGATGCTGAATGCAGGGTCTTCTATCTTCCAGTGTTGAGAAGTTGACTTCTGTGATGCTACATTACTTCCTGTGGAAGCCTAACAAGTATTCAAAGCATGCATAATGGACGGGGACACAACTTGTTTTGTGGTAAAGCAGGCCTAAAGAAAAAAATTGATGTACATGCTACCAGCATCATGTACATAGCTTCACCACAACACAAGGCATTGTCAAAAGATGCCCTGTCCACATGCAAAAAAATATGTCTAAAAAAATAATAATAATTAAAAAAGAAATGAAATTCTCTTACCTCATGTTGATCAGATATTGTGCCAGAGCCACTGAATCAGGATTACCCGTGATGGTGATTGTTCGGTCAGTGCTGCCACCCTCACGTTCCTCACAATTGGAGATACGAATCATTGCCCCACTGATTTGCCTATCCACAAAAGAATTAGAAAAGACACTAATGAAACCTACTGAGGAGGATACTCTGAATATAAACAATTTTTCATGCATTTGTATTCCATGTAGACTTTTAGACAATTTTTAAGTGCACATTTCAACAATACAGCTGATTTCTGATGAAACTGATTTGTATATATTTTACTAATATTACTTAAAAGTAATTAAAAAAAAGTAAATAAAACATATCGATTAACCCAATCATATACAATTCAATTTTGTACAACCATTATTTAAATTTGTAAAAAACATTTTACCTGATCTCAGCAATTTTGGTGCCTCCCTTTCCAATGATGCAACCAATCAATTCATTTGGAACTGTCATTTCATGTGTTTGCTGATTTGCACCAGGTTGATTACGATTTTGGTTATTGGTCCTGAGCTGGCTTCCAGCCAAAGCAGCTAATGCTAGAGGCAAGAAAGGAGAACCCCGAATGAAATTATGAAACTCAGCAGCAATTATGAAGTAAGCAGAAACTTTTTTCTGTATATTGAGTAAAATAAAAATGCATTGTAACAATACAGTAAGTGCAATAATTATTGAAATTTTTTGATAAATCGACTATGTAGGATTAAAATTTTTAAAAATTGGTTAAAACAGAGAATGTCATGTAAATAATATTTTAGAACAATGATGATTTTCAACATTGAATGAATTTGCTGCTCAAATGTTTTACTTGTTACTAAATACATGATATTCTGAACGTTACAGTACCCAAGTTAAATGCTAAAAGAATTTTCTACTGAATGATTACAGAAGGCATAGGGTTAAGGTAGAATGTTAGTTTCATTCACAATGGTGAAATACACCCAAAAATTACTTTAAACACAAGTAAAAGCTGGGTTCAAGATGGAAACTGAACACAATTTCATTTGGACCATACAGGCCTAATGTTTTAATAAAGTAAGTTTAAGTTAGCACCGGCATTTATGGAGAAACTTTCACTGAAGTAGGTTTTTTTTTGCAGGTATTGAAGTTAAATAGACAAAGCACCCATTTATTTTATTCAATACGAAGAACCTGTTTTGCAGAAACTAATTATTTTAAATGCAACACACAACCAGGTATTTTAAAGAGTAATTATTAAAAAAATTCCCAAGAAATCCATTTCAACTAAAGTACTGGGTTTCTGCCTAGAAGCTATACTATACAAATCATGCTATTGTCAGCACTGATTCTCTTGAAGTAAAATAGCAAACTGCACAAAACTTAAAATTGTGTATCTATCTAACACTGTTCTGATCACAATTCACTTTCAATACAACCAATGCGGTCTGATATTCAAAGCAGAAAGAAAAAAGTACAGGAGATGAAATCAACGTAACATATATAAGGTACTGCCAACCAATAAATAATCAAAAGGAGGCTTTCAAATTTTCAAAAGAATATTTCTAAATTTCATACAAAAAATTGTTTAACTGCTCCATTTACAAGTAGCTATTGTTAATTAATAAAGGAATTAAATGGTTGGCTAGCAACTGGCATGAACATACTATCTTAAGTAATATCTGCTGAATAATATAGCTAGCACATAAATAAAAAACAATACTCACCGGCAGGGTTCAGTCCTCCCGTAGTGCCAGTGTTGAGTCCTCCCAGACCAAGAGCTGCCAAACCGGCTAATGGCGAATTGCCCATCCCCATCTTCTGGAAGTATGCAAATAATCCACCTCCATACATAACAAATATCCCTAACCTACAGCCTCTTGTACCAACATTCCTTTGTAAATATGAGATGCCAGCACTGATGTCCAGAGAAGAGTTTAGTCCCTGGCATATGCTATCAGAATATCGAAGTTTTCATGTCAAATACTGAAGTTTTATTTTGATTTATAAATTGGTACAGAAGACTGTGCTCTATTTTCATCCGCCTTTTAAAAAGACTTTGCTGCTCATACTTGAAAACATTCCACTCTTCTTATTCAGCGATAAACAAGAATAAGTCTATCTTTCAGACATGACTTCTGGCAATTGGGAAAAAGGTGGTCGGTCTCAACAAGGCGAGGACTTGATCACCAAATTGCAGCTTATCAATTTTCAATTATCTCTGAGAATTTGCAAACTTACCAACTATGAAGAAAATATCATTACTACTTACAATACTAAAAGCCTGTAAGTGTCCACACTTGGTATAGAAATGGCATTTGGAATGGTTAAAAATAAGATGCATGGTTTGTGGAAGTGGCAACCAGGGCATTCACAACCATGTTAACACTCACGCGCCCCTTCAAAAAGAACTGCTAGGCCAAAACACAATATTCCACACACAAAAAGTGATAAATTCTTTAAACTTTATGTACACTATTTTTTCCTCTTAATAACCTCAGACCCTTTTAATATCATTGTCGAACTATTGTGTACCAATATTTCACAGTTACATGTTTACTTAAAACCAATAATTGATTTCTCTACTCATTATGGTATGTTGACCTAAAATGTCACTTAGAATCCTTAAGCCTATTTCAATACTCTATGTTAACGTAACTGCCTCGAATGAAGTATGGCATTTTAAATAGAAGCACAACACAAATCATATATGAACACAATTGGACTATATTCCCTTATTTACATATTGCAGAGGATTACTGATTTCAATTTATTTGATACAAATGGGGTACTGAAGAAATACTTAATTAGGATAGAAAAATAAGGGAATACAGATATGCCCATGCTTTCATTCACAACTAACAGGTTGAAACAAATATACCAGTAAGTGAACAGTGAAAACATAAATGCAATGAAACACACCAAAACACATCTTGGTTTTGGGGGTCAGGGTATTACTTACTGAGGCTGTGAGGTATGAAAAACATCACACGTCCACTACATTAAAAAAAATATAAGGGTCTAAACAACAAAAGTGTGGACACTTACAAGATTCTCAACTTCAATCAATGCACTAATAAAACTAAGAATAACTGCTTGGGCCATATTTGGAGGACGGGCCCCCCGTTGGGCTCCTCGACCCCTCCCCTGCTCTGAATGAAATCAACTTTGTTTTTATCACGATAATATAGTGCGCTGTTAAAAAAAACAAAGCAAGTAATGACAGTGATGGTGTGCGAAAAAAGATCACGACAAAAAAAAAAAAAGCCATGCACAATGTTATTGACAAAATTTAATGTCTATCAATTTTGAAGGGTCTCTTATCTTTCATGTCATCAAGGAGTGACAAAGGGCATGGTGGACATTTCGTTGGATTGGGTTGGTAGCATTGAGAGTGCCAGAAGAGATTAAGATGCTGTAACACTGGAAGCGGAAATGATGAACGTTTCAAGAGTTCATCCAACATGTTTCATTTAAAAAAATAAAAATTAAATAAACAAACATAATGACTTTTTGTTCACAGAACATCTAAAACATGAATTGTGCCCAAGGTGCCAATGATTTCCAAGTGCCAAACATAAGAAGAAACAAAGCTTGCTACAAATTTTTTAACTTAATGGCACCATATCAAAATACTGCTACGAAAAAATACGCAATAACCTCTCAGTCAAATCAGCTTAGAGGGTTATAACATTTAACAAGAGGATGGACTTAGAGGCAATTTACCAAGTGGATGCCGTAAGATATGTAAAATACACAAATAAACAAGTATACTTGGAAACAATGTGAAATATGTACCATTTATATTCAAGGATAGGGACAAATTATAAACATGTATTACACTATCTACCCCCTCCCCCCAGAACAGGAAAACAGCAACGGCAGCTGTTTAATACACAAAGGAGCATCATGTCCTGATTTGGCATCCTTTCACAGTTACAGCATACCAAGGAAGTCAAAAGATAAAAACAGAAGCAGAATGCTCCCATGAAGGATGGATATGCTCTGAAACAAGTGTCAATAGGGTAACCAAAACAGGAAAGGTAGGAAACAAATATGAAAACCCAGGTACACATGCATTGGGCAAAGCAAGAAGAGAGTTGGGAAAAGTAGGCCATTGACTAATTACCTACAAAATAAGTTTACCAAGCAGCATCAGTCCGAAACCTATGAATGAATAAGAAACCATGCTTCTACCATTCATATTTTATCTTGATAGGAAAATAAATTAAAAATAAAAGCTATAAGATAACTTAAGCTTTACAACTTAAAAGCAAAGGTTCCCGAAAAATCAAGGCAAATTTACTTTTGGTACAGAGAATTTATCTAACTACAGGCTGCATAAGCCTGATAATGTTGGTATCCTCTAAATCCATCCTCCATGACATGGTCAAAAAAGGGGACAAGCATCAAGAACTGTGAGCTTCAGTTCCCAGGGATTGCTAAAGCAAGACCATTGAAGGAGAAGCGAGCAGGTGAAGCCCACACCTGACGTGCAGACAGAAAAGCAAAATAACTAGCACTGACTGACTGGCCAGATGTTAAGTGTCACAATGGACCATCCCTGGAAGCTGCAGCTCTGAGCTTGGTCTCACACCAAGTGTTCACAAAATGACCAGGAAATTTAATAATGCAACAAAAGAAAAGATAAAACCATTAACAATGGCAGCCAGCCTCATGACCACATTAGGTGTCAAGGAGAGTTTTATGTTAGACTTGTGTACTTACCGTCCATGAGAAAACAAAATATGCTATGTATTTTAGCAGGTTGCTGGGTGAGCGAGTGTCAAAAGTATGAAATTCATTAAAAATTGCCACGCGAGTAAGATTGCTAGCAAAATACCACTAAGGCATTCCTGGTCATCTTATCAACGAACATTGCAAACCAGCCCATCCCAGGAGAGTGTAGAAAGATCCAAGTACAAAAAGAGAAAGAGAGAGAGAGACTGCTTGTTTAGAAATTTCGGTTGCCGGGGTGGGGCACAAGGGAGGTGTAGATAATCTCTAGCCAGCTGCAGCCCCACACTTACATCGGCAGCCAGGTGAGCTGGCGGCAGTGCGGCCTGCAAGTGTCCGTTCTTCAGCAGCGGGTCTGCGAGCCCGGTATGCAGGAGCGGGGAGGGGGGCAGGCCCAACGGGGGGTGGCCGGCTACCGGCGCCAAGCCAGGGAACAAGGGCATTGTACTTACGTCGGCATGGGCGGGTACGGCATAGTTACCCTGGATGGTATAAGCCTGTCCACCCGCAAGGATCACTGGGCCAGCCACTTGGGGTTTGGGGCGATAAGGGATCGTGGCACCTTTGGGAGGGGACTGAAAAAAATAAAAATGAATCATTCATTGTAAGTGATCAAGAAAAAAATATACCACGAATTATGCCATGCATTTGAGATTCTCATAAGAATTTGAATGAATCTTTATTATTAGAATCAATACATTTATCACAATGCTCTCACCTCGAGCATAACACAGCAGATGTGGTAGATGCACTGTGTAATAGCCTCACTGGTGCCCGAGATGGTCACCGCACGTTCAGTTGAATTTGGCAACATTTCAGAAGCTACTTGAATGGAAGCTCCTGTCACCTCACGGATCTCCTTAATCTTCGAACCACCTTTGCCGATGAGAGAACCACACTGGGAAGCTGGCACGATGAGCCGCAGAGTAATTGGTGGGCGAGGAATGCCTGAACTATTTGGGGCACCTTGCATTTCTTGGAACTGCAAGACCATAAAAATGTTTAAAAAATTTCCCAACAGACTATACAATAGAGAAGGAAAATAAACGAAGAAAAATAAAAACAAACCTCTTCAAACTTCTTGCAAATAAGTGTGAATGCCTTGAAAATAGCATTTGTTGGTCCAGTAACAGTGACAATTCGTTCAGGACATGATCCATCAGAAATATTTATTTTTGCTCCAGACTGAAACAAAATAAAGATGATAATTCCTATTTATTTTCTGCACAATACAAAAACTTTCTTATTAGTTGTTATGTTAATATTAAAAGGAATTAATGAACAAAGAGTTAAAATATTAAACTTTATAATATAACAAATATTTTTACCTCTTCCCTGAATCTTTTGACAATTTCTCCTTTCTTTCCAATAATACTGCCAACTTCCTGCAACAAAAGATACAGTCACTAGAAACAAACCTTTGAACAGATAGATTAGATTTTTCTTAAATTACAATGAAACACATACACCCCCACCCCAACAACCGGTGAGAGATTTCCCTACCCAACTTACATCGACATCTACTCTTTCAGCGATCGAACACGGGCGTGGCACAGTCTTTCCAAAAAGAGACCATTACAGATTCAAGATAAACGACCTGATATTTGTATCCTCGAGGAGACGCCAGGTCGAAAAAACAATAGGAGACTAGAGCAATTTTTCTAATTACCCAATTAAGTTCAAGAGATCCCGAGATGAGTCATCTAAATCACGGCGGAGGCATCCTGTGGACCGACAGCCCTCTTTTATTTACGCTGTCGCTCGTCTGCGCCGTGAGCTGACATTCCTTCTACCTATTGTCCCCGGCCGTCCTCGCGGCACGGCGGTTTGCTGGCGCGGTGCCCTAGGTAGAGTCTATTCTGCTGGATTGACCTGACCCCAAACAACCGCCACGAAGCTCCTTGGCTACGTGAGTATATTTAGTTCTTGGCGAGCTCAGAGCACTGTTGTTTTAAATTGTAACAGGAAGAGTGCTGGCGAGGTATCTCTTCGCAGTTCCAACGAGGCCTCAAATTTTGTTAGTTTGTCGACTCTGGAAGCGTTACGTTGAGGCGATAAGCCAAGAAGATTGGATTTGATCATGCGGCAGCTCTCGGTAATATTCCAAGTTTTATTACGTTATACAAAACATAAAACAAGAACATATTCGAGATTGCAAGGTACAATAATAATTTGACATTTATGCCAGATCCACGATCAGAGGCAGCATGATACTTTCCCAAACTTAACGAACTTTAATAAGTCAATGAATGAGGACGATTTATATAGTATGTTTCCAGCTCCACCAAACAATTGCATGAAAGTTCATAAAAATCTGTTCATGACAACCGCAGAGTAGAAGAAACTGTGTCATTGAGCAACCATTTACTTGTTGGCGGCCCCTCGTAGTCAAAGTTCGATTAGAAAATCGCCATAATTACTCAGATATAGTACTACCAAAAAATTCGCAAACAGACTGCTCCGCAAAATCACCAACAATATTATTTCACACAATTTTAATTTTTATGTTGATACCACTCACAACTTACATTATTCCAAGCAGAATCTGCAGATAATATCGGCAAAGTAAACTATTTCGATCGACGAATCTCTCTCAATTTTAATTTCCGGTCGTTAGGTGCAGACAAGATAAACGAAAAAGAATCGTATATAAGAAATATATCTGCGACGGCTAACCTTAATTCCCTCATTTGCTGCAGTACGTTACACAGAGGAATGTAGTAGAATATACTAAACATTAATAAAAAGCACCCGTGAAGTAAATACATTTATTCCTGTAGTAAGATTCACTAAACACGAATTAGTTTCGTTTAGTAAATCAGACAATTCACAATCGTAAGAGAATGAACAAAAAATTGTCAGAGGTTCATAAGTTCATACTTGGTTTCGTAAATAATATAAATTCGGTGAGTTTACGTTTCCTGTCGTCATACTACGAAACACTGTTTAGTATGCGCGCGTTCTCAGCCATCTGACCAGTTCGAAAGGTTTATGGAACCTATGTAAAGTGTGAGAATTCAACTCTCTATATAGAATTATACACTATATAAATGGCGTGTTTAGTGTTTTATTGATTTTAATTAGTATGTTATATTCTAAACTAATGGTAGAAATACCGTTAGCAGCCTGCCTTCGTAACTAATGCTTGGCTAGTATCAGTCAGGAAAGCGAGTTTAAGTCCGAATCCACGTAAGATGAGTGACTGTTCCAGAACCCCAGTTGCTACCGTCTGAAGGAACAGAAAAAATATTCCCTTCCACGTTTTGTTTAGTTATTTTCACTGCAATGCGTTTAGTAAATATTACTCAATATATTATTTAACGCAACGATTTGTTTAGTTATCTCCGCAAGATGACATTCGACACGGATATGACCTGTTTAGTGAATATTACTGTATGTGCATTAGTGTTTAATTAAAAAGCAGTTCCATGAACGTGACTAACCACTTTGCTCTTCTAAAATGTAGTGTACCGTTTAGTTGAATCCACTAATTAATTGTATGAACTAAGTAAACATTTCTCTCACTGTATTACACCGCTCGCGTACTTGTCAACAAACAGAAACCGTCCCACGGTACTTGGACGTTTAGAGCGCCGGTGAAACTTGCAGTGCGGTGAACCAACAATCACCGCGCACTGACAACTAATATCTCGAAATATTGGGGTACATGCGACCTCCAGCGGCCGATGTCAGCCTGCGCCGCGGCGCGGCGAGTGCGTGGCCGGGGGCCAGGCGGCGCGGCGCGGCGCACTGCCAGGGTGCGCCCTCTCGCAGTCGATAAATCGCCCGCGTGCCAACAGCGGAGGCGGCGCGGCTGCCCTCCCGCGCGAACGCACGACGCGAGGCGGCGCTTTCTCCCTAGTGCAACGCGGAGGAAGAAACGAACCAACGTAATAAGTCCGGGAAACAAGAGGGAAGGGATAGCGAAAGCGGAATAATACAATTCTAACAGTTGAATTTTTAAATTCCAAAATCAGCGTCCCGCACTTCATAAAATTCGGGAACATTATTTTCAGAAAGAGTAGATTTCTGTTATTTATTTGAGAAAGGGCATCTTCTGGCGCGGTTTTAGCACTTCTATACCTATTAAAATCTTAAAATGTATTAAATGAGTATAAATATAAATTCTAACAATGACAATTTCATTTCTCCATTAATGAGGTTTTTTTCATGAAACATTCGAAGTTTAAATGGAGGCATCAATTCGAGACAAAAGGGACAAACGATCCAGATGCCATCCCAGATACGAATCAGGTTGGATAACTCGCGCAATTTTTCTTGAACGATGACCTTGCATCTCTGACACAGACAGTTTAAGACAAAACTAGCAGCGGGCACTGATGACAACATTCCAAACAATCTTCACTGGCGCGAAATAGAAACCATTTTCCGTCGAAGACTAGAACTTCTGTCCGTGATTTTCTCCAAAAATCTAAAGAAATGACCGAAGCTGGTGTAGATCCATCACAGGAGATACATAGAATTCCTGAGAAAGTTTGAACGCAATTTTTTGATAAAGTTCAGAAGACATGACTGTTTCTCCAGAGATTGGCATTGCTTCATAAAATTTAGTGAACGACTTCGTAACTAATACCCCCACTCTATCAGAATTTCTTCAACCCATCGTTCAAGAAAAAATGCGCGAGTAATACTTGTATCAATATACAACCGAATATTTAGAATTCGCACTTCATTTCAGCGAATTTAAAATCACGATCACACAATTGTAGAGGTCATGCCTTGCTATTTCTTTTACATTGGTTTTATCCAGAATAGAAAAAAAATTCGTGCGTACTAAGTGCACAGTTTAAACCGTTCACTACCCATCGAAATAATCCAGAGAAATAAATTCACTCTCAAACGTAGCAGGTACGATTCGCCAATTATTCTAGCACCAAAGCAATTCAGATAGAACACAAAGGTGTACTCCTGTTGAACATCCAACATCTGTACACACGATATCTAAGTTAGGAACCTCGGATCATCGAATACTATACCCTCACGATTAGACTTGTCCGCAAATTTAAAACCACGTTTAAACACTCCAAAGCAGGGGGTTATGACTTGCCAGTTCTTGTCTGCACCAGTTGCATCCAGATGAGAAAAAAAATAGGAATTTCCTCTCGTTCCCTACTAAGTGCACAGCTTCAATCGTGAAGTATCCATTAAACAGAAACTCATTTATGAAGGGGAAAGATAAACTAAAACTCGCCAAACGCTAGTAGTTACGATTCTCTACTTATTTCTTGCAAACCAAGCAATATCAGACAATGTGAATTCCTTCTCTTGAAGAGAATGCAGCATCATACTGTTTACACGGTACCTTTTAGTTTAGGAATCTTGGATCAACAAATCCTATACATTCTCGATTAGGCGGGCGGGGGACCCATTGGGCGGAAAAACTGTAAACTTTTTTTTTCGGGGGGGGTTTTTTTCCATTTTTTGTTCGGGCGCGGGCGCCCCCAACTAATCTCAAAAATAAAAAAACCCCCGACCCCCCCCCCCCCCCCCCCCCCGGGAGATTTTTTAAAAAAGACAAAGGAACAAAAAAAAAAAAACCCCTAAAAAAAACTCCCCCCCCCCCCCCCCACCCCAAAAAAAAAAACACCCCCCCCCCCCGGGGGGGGGGCCCCAAACGCAGCAACAGGGGGGGGGGCTCTTCATTCCCCACACACCGACCCTTCCCCCCCACGGTCCCTCCACCCAAAATTTTGGTCCCACTTTTCCATTGTTTTGGGGGGGGGGGGGCACCCCCCCACCCCCGCCGCCTTCTTGCACCAAAAAAAAAGGGTTTTCTTTTGCACCAGTTTTCATCCAGATTGAGAAAATAGGAATTTCCTCTCTCCCTACTAAGTGCAACAGCTTCAATCGTGAAGATATCCATCTAACAAGAAACTCTTTATGAAGGAGAAAGACTTAAACTTAAAACTCCCAAACGCAGTTAGTTACGATTTCTACTTATTCTTGCAACCAAGCAAATCAGACAATGTGAATTCTTTCTTTTGAAGAGAATGCAATTCATACTGTACGCGACGGTTACCTTTTAGTTAGGAATCTTGGATCAACAAATCCTATACATTCACGATTAGATTTGTCTGCAAATTTAAAACCACGTTTAAACACTCAAACGCAGGGGTTATGACTTGCAGTTTCTTTTGCACCTGTTTCATCCAGATGAGAAAATAGAAATTTCCTCTCTCCCTACTAAGTGCACAGCTTCAATCGAAGTATCCATCTACACAAGAAAACTATGAAGAGAAAGATAAATTACAACTCTCAAACGTAGCAGTTACGATTCGCCAATAATTCTATACCTCAAACAATTCAGATTGTGCACTTCATTCTATTGAAGTGCACGGAACACTCATCCAGTACACAGGATAAT